AAAAAGCATTGACCCATGTCACTTTAGTTTTGTTTATTTTACTGTACATAAATTATATTTCAATAAAATGAATTTTTTTAAAAAAAGAAGAATTTCATTTTACTTGAATCTATAATCAACACTCATGGAAGTGGCAGTCAAGAAATCAAGTAATATATTCCATGAGGAAAATATACTGCAATGGATCTCTTTAAAGTTTTTAAAAGTAAACATGTCACTTTGAGGACTAAGATGTGCCTGACTCAAGTCATGTTATTTTCAATCAATATGCATGTTAGAGATGGACAAGGAATAAGGTAAACCAAAGAACTGATGCACTTGAATTATCGTGCTGTCAAAGAAAACTAAATACACCATGGACTGCCAGAAGAATGAACAAATCTGTCTTGGAAGAATTGTACCAGAATGCTTCCTAGAAGGAAGTATGGTGAAACTTCATCTCTTATACCTTGAACATGCTATCAGGAGGGACCAGTCCCTGGAGAAGGACATCAGGCTTGGCAAAGTAGAGGGTCAGCAAAAAAGAGGAAGGCTCTTAATGAAATGGACTGACACAGTAACTGCAATAGTGGGCTTAAGTACAGAAACAATTGTGAGGATGGTGCGGTGTTCTGTTGTACATAAGGTTGCTTTGAGTCGAAACTGACTCATTGTTAAAAACAAAAAGGTCTTAGTAAGTTTTTCTTTCCAAACTGAAGTCATTGAGCAGAAGGGAAAGGTGAGGAAGGTCTGTAACCCTTTGGGAGGCAGTCTGATATAGTGGAATAAATACTGGGCCTGGAGGTAGAGAAAACACATTCAAGATTCATTTATAATTGAGAAAATACTATCTGGGTTACTGGGTTATAGGAAGGATGTGAGTAAATACTGCACCCAGAACACAGAAAATGCTTAATACACATTAGTCAAAACTGAGTCAAATTCTCAAATAGTAAAGGAAGAAGAGCAGCCACATGGCCCATTAGAAACTCAGCAAACACCCTGAAATGGTGCTTATAAACTTGTACTCAAAAGTTAGAATGCAGGCACTCATTTGGCTGGGCATGTGGCTGCATCATTCGCTAAATATATATATGAAAAAAGTCTATCACACTCATTCCATGAATAACACAAAAGCCTTGATTTGTTCCTCCACGTGACGAGCATGCGTTAGGTCCAAAATTAACGTTGCTGTCTGGCTGGGGTATGTGTGTGTTTTTCCAAAAAGAGAAAACTTCCAAGCTCTTACTCAGCCTTAATCAGAATGTCTAATGCAGCATGTTACTTGCAGATGAACGAGAAGAACAGAGACCAAAACCAAAGGTCTGATCTATTGTAGACTCTCAATAAATATGTGTTGATTCATGAATGAAGGAATCAATGAAGAGGTAGGGAGGTAGTCCTGAGTGTCCTTATATAGTCACTTTAGTCACTTCACTTATTTGAGCCATACCTTCTGTATACATAAGTTGAAACTTCAAACCTTCATGTGTCTGGCAGAATTTTGCTTTGAGGAGTAAAGCCTTTGAGAGTGTCAGCTATTATTATTATAAGATCTTTTCCTGAGCCCATTAGACCCTGTACTTTTTTTTTTTTTCCAAGAGCTTGTTATACATTCAATGTTATATGTTCATTTAATTTCATTCCCCATTTATCATGTTCAACCCTAACCCAATCTTCTCCCCTCCCTATCCTGTAACCCCTTTCCCTGTGCCCCTCATATTTATGCACTCCTGTTTGTCCTGCATTTCCTCAATTTGAATGTTGGTCCTTTGGTGTCCCATGGTCTATTGCTCTAAGGGATGTATTACCATAGACTATGTGGGTGTGTCATCCTGGGTTGAGTGGTCTGCGTGTACGTCTTATTAACTATTGAGCTGAGAGCCAGCCCCTGGGGGTGCATTTTATTCCAGGCACAGAATGTATTCCAAGGCCATAGTATTGGGGGTCTCACCAGATTTCATCTGATCAATAATTCTGGTCATTATTGAGTTTTGGGTTTTGGTCCATGTTTTCCCTCCCACTCTATCCAGGATCTCCAGATCTGATCCTTTCCTGAGTGGTTGGCATTGGCAGTTGGGCACCATCTAGTTTTTCTGGTCTCGAGGGCCACCGTGTCCTATGGCTGATTGCTTCCAAATGCCCTTTTTTTTTTTTTCTTGCACTCTTCTTCACTTCCAATGTTAGGAGACCATTAGCTGCATCTTAGATGGCCTCTTGAAAGCTTTTAAGACTCCAGTCGCTACTCACCAATGGAGGATGTGGAGCAAGGCTTTTATGTATTTTGTTGTGCCAATTGAGTCTGGTGTCCCTCAGTACTATGGTCCTGAAATGGTAGATCTATTGGATCTCTCTCACATAGTGTCTGGTTGTCTGTGAGGAATTACTCTATGACTGTCTTCTATTGTTTCTGTAAGGAATGCAGGTATTTTGTATCACTGGTATCTGTGCAAGATTAGCCTCAGCTGAATCTATCTATCTATCTGTTCACTGACTTCCATCTGATCAGACCCTGTATTTTTGCATACTTAATTTGTTTTCCTTTATCTATTGTGTAAAGGCATTAATTACAGCTTTTTTAAAGAAATCATTAATATGGGCATAGGTACCTTTCGACTACCACTCAAGTGATTTCAGCCTAATAGTCTTCTCTGAAAGGTGACAGACTGACAGCTCTACATCAGGGGCCAGTGGAGATGGAAGACCATGTCACCTCTATGCCCACAACACCATCTCTACCATGGAGGTGACATGCCTAATATCTGTTTAGTGCCAGCACAAGAGGACAATACACATAAAGTAGCCTAACACAGTGCTTGACGCCTGATACTCAATAATTTCTTTCATTGAGAGAAAACAGGGCATAGAGGACATAGTTCGAGTTTTATAGCCAGACTTGCTTGGGTTCAAATACTCAAGAACAGCTCCATCTCTTACTAGTTACGTGACCTTGGCAAGCTCCTCTGACTTGGTATTCACAACTATAAATTGAGCATAATGAAGGGGCTTCAATGCATAACCTCACAGAGTACATACAAGTCAGCTCTAGGGGCCACCATGCAGTATCTATTCTGCAAGGGCTGTTGTCAGGGTTAAAGCACCTGGTACTTTGACCACACTCTGGAATGGGCAGCCCCATTGTGACTTTGTGTGTGCAGTCATTCCTGGAAAGGCCAGTTATATTTTGAAGCACTGAACCTCAGCGCCCAGCAAGGCAGGCCAAGCACGTGACAAATGTTAAACAGTTATTCCCTGAGATGCAGGCCAAAAGGCCAAGGAGTTGGAGACACTTTATTTTCTTCTGCGAAGCACAATTAGTTTGTCACAGGTGACAGATGATGGATGGGTATGGATCAGTCCAAGTGACACCATAAAATCCATCTGACCTTCCTTTTATTATTCTAACCTCTCACACACAGTCAGCTCATTCCCTCCATCTGCTGGCAATCCCCTGGCGCCCCTTCCGTCTCTCTGCCTCACCCTCCAGCCCCCAGCCCATCATGTCCCCAATCACTCACCATCACGGAAATGTGGAGAATGTGCATCTGCTCCTCTACAATCTCTGAGGGCTCCTGGAGTGTGGGGGCGGTGGCCCGGGCCAGCTGCCCAGAGCTGCTCATGGAGACGTGAAAGTACAAGGTGCCATTCTCCAGCCACTGTTGTCGCCAGTGTACCAGTGAGATGTCCGCCGCTGTGCCAGACATCTCTGTAAGACAAGACCCAAGTGACGATGAGCTGCATGCCTGGTCTTGGTATGTGGGGGAGAGGAGTCATGGGTATCAGGAGCTTTGACCCAGATAATTTTCCTTACATCAAACCTACAAGCCAGGAATCATCACCCATTTTATAGATGGGTCAACTGAGGCCAAGATATGTCCCCAAGTAACAAAGCTAATAAGTGGCAGAACAAAGACTTGAACCCAAGCCCTGTCTGGAGCCAAAGCTGATATTTTTTTTATAATACCATAATAAGATAATTCATTCCTTTCAAACAGTGGAATCAAACTAAGCAGGAGGGTGGAAACACTTAACATTCTTCTGTGGCCAAGGAACGAGAAGATGTAGGAGGAAATCTGCAAGGAGGGTGGAAGTTCAGAGCAAATTCCTTAAAAGCTGAGATGGGTCCATTCATGGCACACTGCAGAACGTCAGAGCTGGGAAGGCTCTAGAGAGCATCGAGCCCAACTGAAGTGCTCAGGGTCACCCTGTATAGGAAGGGAGCTCAGCAAGGGTTGTTCTAGGTATCTCTCCTGCTTCAGGCAGAGCGTCTCCATTTTTTGTAGCTTATATAAAGGCACATCTCATTTTATTGCACTTCATTTTATTGAGCTTTGCAGACACTTCATTTTTTTTTTTTACAAATTGAAGCTTTGTGGCAACCTTGTGTTGAGCAAGTGTATCAACATCATTTTTCCAACAGCACGTGCTGACTTTGTGTCTCTGTGTCACATTTTGGTAAGTCTTACTGCACTTCAAACTTTTTCACAATGCTATTGCACATTTAACATACTATAGTATGAATACAACTTTTACATGCACTGAAAAACAGAAAATTGGTGTGACTGTCTTTATGACAGCATTTGCTCTATTGTTTGTCTGGAACCAAACCTGCAAAATATGTCAGAGATATGTATGTACTGTAATTTCAAGCAAGAGAATGTTTGCAAAAAGGTTATGTGGCTTCAAAATATCTTATAAAGCATTGCATACCCCAGTATTCTCATGGGAAGCTGGGGATTTCTAATCAATTGTTAAGTTGGGTCTCTTGATTTGAAATTTCTAACTTCTGCCCCTATGTAGTTTTTCCCTCTGTAGATACTTTTAAAAATAATGATCATTTCAGCAGTACTACTATGCAATATGGGAGCTCTGGTAGCGTAGTGCCTAAGGTACTTGACTGCTAACCAGAAGGCTGGTGGTTCAAACCCACCAGCCACTCCTCGGAAGGAAGATGGGGCAATCTACTTCTGTAGTGATACTGCCTCGGAAACCCAAGGAGGGGTCGCTATGAGTCAGGTCTGACTCGACGGCACATAACAACAACAACATTGTCTATTGTTAGATAAGAAGGAAGATGGTATAAGGTACCAAAAGGGTCAGTGCACTGGGATCATATATCTCTTTGCATTGTGCTGCTACTAAAGAAACTGTGTCCCTGGAAATATCCTAGGAGGACAAGGCCTACCCAGTGCCTCTCATGAATAAATGGAAGGGTGGTGGAGTTCTTGGTGAATTATGCAGTCCACATTCCATAAGTTACTGCAGGAGACAGAGTCAAATATTCAGTAGACAAGTAGTGTCAATAGTATCTAAGACTTGAAATCTTGGACCTTGTTCCTGAGACATGGAGTTCATCGGAAGACAGTATTTCCTACAGCCCCCAAACACCTAATATCCATGCTCAAACTAGAGGAGGATTGATGGATAAGCCGAGTTAGAAATGTTACTTATTCAATCAGCTCTCCCACTGTTTGCAGTCCCATCATATGTGGTGACATTGAGTGAAAGAAGTCAGGCTTTAAAGCAATAAGAAGGTGAAGTTTGCTCACCAAATTCTACTGAATTATTCTTGTATTCCATTCCCAATAGACCTCTAACTACTTCAGGTTTGTAATTAAAAGTCCTTAGGGAAGACAATTTGGCATTTAATATATTGTAAAAAAAAGGTTACCTATTAATATTTATTATCATTATTATTTTACTAGGGATAGGATCTAATTTGCCCTTTACATACTTGGAAAAAAACCTGGAGACATCCTTGATTGCTCATTCTCTCTACCACTCCTCATCTAATCCGTTAGCAACTCCTTCCAAATTGACCCAAAATTCAACATTTCTCAGATCCTCTACTTTAGCCACTTGAGTGAAGATGCCATCCTCCCTTGCCTGAATTGCCTGATTTGCCTTCCCACCTCTTGACATGGCCATCTTCTTCCACCCTTGCTCCATCTATTCTCCATCCAGAAGCCAGAGAAACCCTGCCAAAGCATAAGTCAGGTCATCACTCCTCTGCTCAAAATCCTCCAGTGGCTTCCCATCTCATCCCAAGTAGAGGTAAAGTGGCTGGAACAAAGTAAATGATTTATCCGATGAAAACATTTCAAGACTTCCCTCCTGCACAAATAGTTGAGCTGGGCTGGAGATCATTATAAAAGTTCATCAGCTCTTAGAATGAAGGCCCCAAAGGGACCTGCAAACTCACTGCCATGCCCAGGGGAAGGGACTGGCTGGGTGCCCAGTCTGAAAAGCAGGACTCTCTGAGCACCTTCTTTCCCTCCAGGGCTGGAGTAATCTGCGACCTTGCATCACCCCACCTCCCAGCCTCAGCACCTGAAGCCTTGGCAGCAGCTTCTCTGGGAGGCAGCCAGCCAGGCCAAGGCAAGGTGAAGACGTTATGGTAAATGGCCTTGGCCAGCACCTTGCTCCTTTTTCTCTCAGTCCATCAAGTCCATTAACAGAAACCCAGGGACCCTACGACTGAGAGTTGCCTCTGGAAATTGTCGTCTCTAATTCAGCAGCAGGAATCTCAGCATGGCGTAAACTGTTAACATACTCATCTGTTAACAGAAATGTTGAAGGTTCAAGCCCATCTAGAGATACCTTGGAAGAACAGCTTGGACACCTACTTTCCAAAACTCAACCATTAAAAACCCTGGAGCACAGTTCAATTCTGACACACATGGGTTGCCATGAAGTGGAGTCAATTAAAAGGAAATTGGTTTTAATTCAGAAGCTCAAGAAGGGGGACCCATGTGCTGCTGATGGGCAGGACACTTAATGTGCTGAGAGCTGCTGGAATAGCACCGGGAGGAAAACCCAAGGCAGGCCACGTTCTGGGTGACACAACCTGGCACATATGGAAGCAAAGTAAGTTGAAGGATGCTTGTGGAAATCTGAATCCGTACTCCTTGTGCCTGAAATGCTCCCAGTAAAGAGGCTCACCTTCCCTATTTCCAGATTAGAAAACAGAGAGTCAGATAGGGCTAGTGTTTTGCCAAGGTCAACAGTGTGTTTGTTCAGCTAGACCCAGTGGATTACCGAACACGCGATTTCTACTATGACAGTTGTTTTTACAGTGTCTCCTCCTTTCCCTTGACTAAATTAGCCCATGAACCAAAACTAGATTGAGCTCTTTGTTTGCTACAGCGATGAGTGCACAGTCAGCAGACAGTAAACGTTAAATTATAATAACAGTATGTAAAACACAGTAAATATTGAATCACAGAAAATAGCTCTGGACTTACTCTATTACAAAGAAAGGAAACTGTTGTTGGGGTGGGGGGAGGCGAGTGGTGGGGCACAAGAATCTCCAACAGAAAAACACTTCAGTGAAAGGAGGTAGCTTTAATCATTCATTCACTCATTCACTCACCCATTCGTTTCATTGCTTTTTTATTCACTCAGCACACATTGTGTGTTGAGGACCTCCTTGATTCCTGGCATTCCAGAATATGGAGTGAAATATGACATTGCACTGCCTTCTGGAAGCTCATAGTCCTTCAGTAAGAGTAATTCTACCCTCCGTGCCTTCACTCACATGTGTACGCCCCTCTTCCATTTAACTTGGCCCATGAGACTGTGCGTTAGCTGGCCCGTCTTCTGCCACGGCTCTCCTGTCCTGTGCTCCAAATCCACAGGACATACAGCTGTTTACCAAATAGGGCAGGCTCCCTCTTCTCTCAGAGCATAAGTACTTTCTGTCCACTTTGCCTGGAACTCTCTTCCCAGGGCTTGCAGGCTTGTAGTCTTCTCGGTGTTTGCCTCTCAGTCCAAATGACACCTGTTCGGAGAAGCCTTGCCTAGCCACTCTAGCTAAAGTACTCTCAACCCACATGTCCACTCTCTGTTATATCTCTTTTAGAAAAAAATGGTCTATAGCACTTATAATATTAGAAATTTGCTAACTTATGCATTTCCTTGGACATGCATTTATTGTCTCTCCAGGAGAACAGAGACCTTGTGTGCCTTATCCCTTGCATCTCTCAAGTACTTTGAAAAATGCTTGACACATAATAAGTACTCGATAAATAATCATTGAATTGCTGGCTATAAATACACACACACATACACACATATATCCATAATAAGATGGTAGAGGTAGTAAAGAATATGATGTGGAGAGTATTAAACATCATCAGAGAATTTTCAAAAGGGCTGCTGGGAACTCAAGGTGGAAGAAGACCCTCCTAGCTTGGAGACTGTATTAGTTTCCTAGGGTTGTGTAACAAAGTACCAAAAAACAGGTGGATTAAAATAACAGTTATTCTGGACTCCAAGAGTCCAAAAGCAAGATGTCAGCAGGGCCATGCTCTCTCTGAAGACTCTACACAAGATTCTTCTTTGTCTCTTCCTAGCTTCTGCTGGTTGCTGACAATCCTTGGCATTCCTTGGTTTGCAGGTGCATCACTCCAATCTCTGCCTCTGTCCTCACATGGCCATGTTCCCTCTCTCTTCTTTTAATGTAGATACCTGTCATATTAGACTAGGACCCATTCTACTCTGATATGACCTCATGTTAACTTAACTGTTAACGTCTTCAAAAACTCTATTTCCAAGCAGCATCACATTCACAGGTACCTGGGATTTAGGACTTTAACATATTTTGGAGGGAGCACAATTCAAGGAGCATAATCAAACCCATAATAGAGATCAATAACAACTACAACAAGGTAGTAGCATGAGTACCACAAAGGATGAGTATACA